CGTTTCACAGCCACGCGTGACGCCAAACAAGGAAAGCGTGAACAGGTTTATAGTATAGGTAGATATAAAAATTATAAAACTATAAAGTCAATATATTATAATTTTAAATTTAATTAGAAAAAAATGCTGATCAGCAAAATTGTTATTAAAATCGAAAATTTTCATTTTTTATTCAAACAATAAATTTAATCTGCAGTGAAGCCACTGGTCCAATTCTAAACCATTAAACGATGAAAATTAATCATATTTCATTTTAGAACCCTAGGTCGTTTCATAAGTTATCCGCAGTTCAACACAGGCACAGACATGATTAGAATCAAATCCAAAATCATTAATAACTTTAACACAATAATTAATGTTGGATAATTTTGAAGTTAATACTTCGAACTTGGAATGTCAAGATAACGGACCTCATATTAAACTGTTAATAATGGTCCAAAAGTCCGATCACATAATATCTGGTCAAGTGGAGTTTAGATCATTGTATTGTCATCAATTTGAATGCACATAATTCATATTATAGGACAGAAGACTATATAAGTAAATAATATTGTTCATGTAATATACACCACCATTTATATTTCAGATGAGAACCACCCTTTATATGGTTAAATTGAATGCATCAAAATCGAAGTACAAACGAACAGTTTTTGATTTATCTTCTACTAATATATTCAACTGATCGTGAATTTGCTTAACCTAAACTCTATTATTATATATAGACCAGTGTTTCTCAAAGTGTGTTCCGCGGAACCTTAGGGTTCCGTGAGACAATGTCAAGGGTTCCGCCAGATGTATGTGATTATTGAGAAAATTATGTTTATTAAATGTTTTTTAAACTAAGTTTAATAATGAAAACTGAAAAGTCATTAACAGTATCGTTAAAATATTATTTAGACTTGAGAGTTTAAAGAATTGGTTTTCCTTTTTTTATTTAGAAAAATTGTAGTTGAGTTGGATGAGACATTATAGGGTTCCGCGAAACACAAACAATTTTTAAAAGTGCCGTGGTCGTAAAAGTTTGGGAACCACTGATATAGACTGTTAATTGATAACTCGGATATTACTCGTTCAAATTTTGATTTTTATACATCGAGATTTTTAATAAAATCGTGGGCTTAACAATGTACAGTTTAAAATGGCAATTATCATTTGAAAAAACACAACTTAAAAGGCAAAAAAGTACTTGAAGTTAATAATAATGGTCTTTAAGTATAATTCCAAAACTTATTTTAACAAATACATAATTAAAGGGAAAAAATTATATTGAGTACGCTTGGTGAGTCACTATGTATATTATATTGAGTTATGGATAATTTATTAAAAATAATTTACTAAAAATCACACTAGTATGTAACAAAATAATGATTAATAATTCAAAAGTATGTTATGCTAGTTCTTAGTAATGAATATAATACCAAAGAACGCTATTTCTGCGACGGCAGAACATATAATTAACAGCCATGACATGACTAAAGTATGTTTCTAAACTTTTTTTTCAAGACACAAAATAGTATTATAAAGGATATTAAAATCCCAAAAAATTGGTTTTGGTGACACATCAGTCTATCATGACACACCTCGCCAGTTAAGAACGACGGGGTTAAGTTAGGAAATAAGGAATGATGTTAAATAAAATAACTCATAGACATGTTAAAGTGGATTAATGTTGAGTGACTTGTTAAGTGACCACATAACTAAATCATTAAATAATTAAATAATTAAATAGTTAAATAGAATAATGAAGATTTTGTCAAAAGACTTTCCATTGTTATGAGTATAACGGCTACATTCATATTATTTATGTGTACTAAAAGTGTTCTGTAACTTTATAAGATAGTAAGGGACAGGAATACATTTTTGTTCAAGCATTTAAAGCAGCCGCACTGGGTATAAAGCCAAGAATCATCGAAGAGTACCTACTGATGTGCAGTGTTGGTTTTTATCCATTCCCGTGAAAATAATACAAACGGTACGATGGATTTTATGAATGGTAGAGTGCTTGAACCTGAATCCAGAATGGTGATTGAGAATTTGTTATATTTGATTTACACTATAATTACTAGAAAACTTGCGATAAGTCTTTCTTGGAAAAATGTTGGTAGAAATCAGAAGACCTACATAAAAGGTCGCATTATAAAGGGTTGAATATACACAAAGATCAAAAATGTTCTTTAGTTAAATGAAGAAAAAAAATTATTTAATTATTTAATGTTATCGACATTTAGACTAAATATAAATAGAGGTTAACAAACAAATAATTATAAATCCTATACATTATTGTAATCACAGTGTTACCAAAAATAAATAAAATAGAATGTTTAAAGGTAATGGCCCTTGCCGCCGAAGCTAAAGTTCAATAAAAAAAAAAAATTCCGGTTACATATTTAACGAAATATACAATAGTGTACTGTACATAGCGTATTATTTGCATACAATTCATACTTTAAAATATTATGTATTATATATCTATAGTAAATAAATTCAATATTAATATTTTAAGTTTTAACATAATATTATTAATAGTAAATAACTTATTACTTCGAGATTTTTAAAATATAATGTTAAAATAATAAAATAGTTTTATAAACATGACATTATTTATTACATATAGATATTTAACCGCCTAATCTGATAATATGTTTAAAATTTAAAAAACAACATAACATTTTATAATCCATTGTGAAATGAGTAAATAACCATTTTTATGATGGTTGAATTATATTTTTAAATATCTTTGCTGCTATGTATAGTGTATACAAAAATACGTGTGCATATTTTATGCATAATGCAATAGCGTCATTCATCAAACTTAAATCGTTTTCAATTTTTAACTAGCAATCTATAATTTATTCTAAATATTTTATTAAAATGTTAATTTGTGCAACACTGACATTCAAGCAGTATTTACAATTAAATTAACAACCAAGTACTGTGACAGTAGATGTGGCTTGTACATGTATGAGCACTTCCAATGCAATTATAAACTATCCACCATGCAAAGTAGATTTCCTAATGCCTATACTATATCCTCCGAATCAGGGAACTAATTCCACCCACAAAATCACGACCACACCGCCTGATTACCAGCATGGCTAGATAATTTACGAAGAATAATAAAAAAAACAAAATGAACTGCGAAGGCCGAAGAGTATTATAGTAACATAGTAAATCTGTAAAGAATACTGTCTTGTTCTACAAACCACACAAAATTAACTTATGCATAATGACAGGTAATGATTTAAGTACATTTGAAAAATTATTGTAAAAATATTATTATTTGTTTTTAAATATATGAATAAATACTATTATTAAATCATTAATAAAAATCATTAAGCTTTAAGTAAATAAATATTTATAAATACAGCATCGTTTACGTTGAATACAGTTAACTGAGAAAATAATAAATTAGAATACAATATATTATTATAACTTTTAATAAACGGTAAAAAAAAGAACAGTTACTATTAATCAGTTTATCACTGTTAAGATATTTTTTTTATGAATATATAAATTGATACAAACGTATTATATAATGATGTGTGAATAGGTTTATAATATGAATATATTAAAATTAATCTAAATATTTTGAAAAATGTATAAAGTTTGGTGAAAAGTTTTAATTCTCTATAATGCAAATTATGACTTATGACTTACCTTATAATATTTTCCAATTTATTTAAGAAAAGCATATTATGAGGAATCTTGTTTTAAATGTTCAAGCTTTTTGACTGAGAAAATAAATGTTATCAACGCATAAACTTTAAAAGTACCAAAATTTCAAATGCCTGAACAACTCCAAAATATTTTTAAAATAAGTTAATTTTAATATTTAGTGAAATTTTCAAGTCGTTACAGTTAATGACAAATTTAGTTTTGTCAAAAATAGGAGTCAAAAACATTTTTAAAATGTCGAGTTAAATCCCCGTTTTCAGACTGGTTTTCGTCAGTTTTTTCAATTTTATTATAATAAAATACTGAAATATGGTTATATAACCACCCCTTCCTCACTTTAGAAAAGTACCAACTTAATAAAATTTGCTACTACAAGCCACCTTTTTATGTCTTCTGCTCCAAAACGTAATTATAGACACAACGAAAAAACACACGAATAAAATAAAACTAATATACATTTCTAGCTCTGATCAAAATGTAAGATGTAAAAGGTAATACATTTGTAAATATAGATTCTATACGCATAAAGCAATTTTAAATAAAACCATGGTAAATTGTCAACACTTTTATGACCTTAAGAGAAATATTTTATTATTTAATAACGGCATGCAAACTAAACTTAAAATATTTAAGGACAAAACAAACTTTTAAAAATCTAAGCAAAAATAATCCAATGTACAACGAGTGAAACTATTTGAATGGTTTAAAGGTATTTCTGTTTTGGCACAACCTTTTAAAAATAGTCTACTTTAATAATGGAATTTTGAAATTTACGTGATCTCCAGTATAAATGTAGCCATGTATAGGTATCATAGGTACCATACATGTAATACTTGCATGTATCCTTTGATTAAATTTAATATAAATAAATTAAAATACGAAACATTACAAAAAGAAGCTATGGTATATAAAAATTATATTATTAAAAAACTAATAACGTTTTTTTTGCTCTACTTTAAGTATAAAATAAAAGTAAACGAAAATTATTTAAAAAATATACATATATTAAATTATTTAATTGTTCATTTCTAATTCATCAGGATTCAAATAATATTTAAAATGAATCAGGAATATATTAGTATACTATGTTATTAAAATTCAAACAAAATGTCCGTAGACAGTACCTTTTCCACGGTAGTTTATATCGTTTTTATTAAAATTAAAATATTTATCTTTTTATTCTTAAGTAACAAATATTATGATCAATGTACCATAACATCAGTTTTACACTTGTACCTATGTTTTATTCATGTTGGCATGTTCTGTATATTATTTTACTTATAAATATAAGCTACACGTAACTAAAAATTGTGTTATTTTTATAGGTTTATCATGTGAGCTTTAAAAAAATATCCGTTTGGAGAAAATCTTCGACAATCAACAATAAAATGGAAAACTGGGCAAAGTAATATATTTTGTTATATAATATAATACATAATAATTCATATGATGTTATAATATTTAAAATATGTATTATCTTTGTATTAGTTTTCAGACACCTGAATAACAATAATTAATAGAAAATAAGTTATTAAAATATGCAACATCATTACCATTATATTTTATATTAACAATAATAGTTTTTAACTATTCGTGAAATATAATAATTGATTCATTTGTATTCTTTAAATAGTGAGGAGCTGGAAACAAGACAAATGTGCTAATATTACCGACAAAATAAAACCAAAAACCAAACGATATCAATGTCGAACCACTTAACCAGTATTAATGCGATGTGCAAAAATGAAGTGCGTACAATAATCAATAATATATTATACTTGTTTAAAATCCTATCAATTACTTACTATTTGGTTAAATAATAAAAATATAGGACAAAGCTAATTATATTGTACTGTTTCATTTATATAATTATATAAAACACGTGCAATCTAATTACACTATATCCACAAGTTCAAAATATAATAATCAAGATAAACATAATATTGAACATCGTAAAATATATGAAATGTCACAAGAAATTATTCGATAATATATCAGACAATATGTTTTTACCAAACAAAAATCGAATACAACTTGTTATTACAACTGTCATTTTAGTTCTACATATATATAATTATTTTGTTCGGTGTGTCCTATATTCTAGTTATTAAAGAAACTATTACATTTTTAGGGGATTTTAATAACCATGATATTAAATTGAATACAATTGTATAAAGTGTTTAAATATTTGAGTACTTGAGTGACACCGATGATGATTCTGATTTCCGAGTTTATTTTAATTTTATTTTTACCTAACCCTATCAATTTCTCCATGTACAGTTTCATTTATGGTATGAGTGCAATTGATTTTTTTCCAATTGACGTTATTTTAGTTTTCAAACCGTACCATTATAATATTTCTACGAAGTAAATTCTTAGACGATAAGTGTCAGTGTAATAACTACATTATATTTCATGGACATTGATTCTCGTGGTATTAATACAAATAAACTTAGACTTGGCTTATCAACAGATATTATATTATATTTAATTATCGAATTCAATAAAAACGAACCATTCTAGATAGATATATTAGATAGCAACATTTTAGTTTTTGCATTACCAGTATAAGTTATATAAATTTGAATAAATGATACAGCTAAAAATGAATAAATAATTTTCTTTACAAGCCTCAAACCCAACTCCAACTAACTTTAATTTGAACATTAAAGCAATTTTCAAAATAAAATCGATTAATTTATGTAACTGATTCTAGATAAATGTATACCTAGTATTATAGTATAGACTAATATAAAGTTTTCAAATTTCTTGAGATTTTAAGTTATAGGTAGGTAGGTATGTAATATAATATTTGCAACTATACTTCATGAATAGTTATCTAGGTAAATGTATAATTTGTATTGTAGTTATTGTTTCGGTAAAATGTACAACAGTATGTATAGCTACTAAATTAAAATAGTAATGGCCAATAATTTATTTACATGACATTTTAGGGTTTAGGAAGTAAAAGATAAATTATTTAGTTATAAAGCTAGTTATAATAGACTTTTCGTATATCAGTTATTATGAATAAGAGAAAGAAATACATATGTATAATATGATTAGTATATATATATATAAAGTATTACTATTATATGTGATATTTTGTTAAGGTTTTTTTAATTTTTAACAAATAAATAAATAATTAATAGTAATGAAAAAAATCTCATGATTTAAAAATAAATAAAACATGAATATTCTGCTCAAAAAAATATAAAACCACAGTTTAATACATCAAAAGTATAAACATATTATTTAATTCATATTTAATTTTATTCTCTGTAGGTATAAAAAATATTTTTTCAAAGTGTATCTTCAATGGTATACTTTAAAGTTTAATGGTTAGGACAATAATTCTTAGTTGGAAGTAAAATATTCAATAATACTGATTTAGAAACTTTTATTATTATTTACGTAAACTGTGTTACATGTATCTATATCAAAAAAGTTGAAGAAAAATGAATTTAATGCTTATTTTACAAGTATCAGTTTATTAAAGTAACAATTTATAAAAATATTTATATTATATGTCTAAAAGATATTTCAGTATAAATATAAAATAGAGTTTTAATAGAATATTCTTAAAATAAAGTAGTAGATATGTATTATAATTATTTAATATAATTTGCATTGATTATCCAAAGTCCATTAAATTAATTTTTCCGCATTTTTCTATTCATATCATACCATAATTAAACAGTTATTACAATCTATATAAAACATTTTATTTATTTTATTTTCAAAAATTGGAAATTAATCTCAATTTATATTTCAATATAATTTTTAAAAAAATAAACATAATACTATAATAGGTATTGATGCCTGGCTGGAATCAAATTGCGTTTATATAATATTTTACTTCGATGTTTATAATGTATTGTTATGTATTTTTAAAATATAATTCTAATGATTGAGGTGGGTTACAAATTGTATACACTCTTTCAAATGTTTTCAAACATTATCGATATTATTTTGCTATTATTATTATTATTATTATTATTATTATTATTATTATTATTATTACTTTATAGATAGATAATAATTATTTAGAATGTTATTTTTATTATGTAAATTTTAAAATAATGTTTTTTGAATTATAGTATTATTACATTGGTAGACACATTAGTATACGATATAGGTATCCCACAAAAGTTCTGTATTGTTTGAGTTAGTTTCTTAAAATATGTTGGCATAATTTTCTGTTCAATAAAAAAACAGAAAAACAAATTTGGATAGTAATTGAGATGTTAATATTTTTTTTTACAATTACACTCATAATATACCTACATTGAAAACATTGTAGTTATTACAGTTGCGCAGTAAATAGTCAGCTTAATATACCTATAATATTTATACAATAAACATGATAATATATACAATATACATATAAGTATACATCATACGTATATGTTATAAGTCCATGTTTCAAAAATGACGAAAATCGGGGATTATCATAATGTTCATTTATGACCAGCAACATTTCTTTTACAAAAAAAAAAAAACCAAAACCAAAATAATAATAACTCATTTATTGAACATATAACATTATAATATTGAAACTTAAAAATAAAACTATACTTATTTAAAGTTATTTTAAACGTATTATAGAGTAAAAAATGTTACGGAGATGAAGATGGCAACGAAAAACTTACAAGTCCAATGATATTTTTTTCATATGGTATGCTGCTTACGGTAATTGGCATTGTGGGTTTAATTGGAAATGGTTTAGTTCTCATCGTATTTACCAGGTAAGGTTTAACTGGTTTTATTTTTTTTATTTATGGTATAGTTTAAGTATAGCATGTGTAAAATATTGAAAAACTTTCCAAAAACGTTTTAAGTTGAAAATTGAACAATACTTTGGGTATAATTATACAACATGTTTATTTTATAATGTTCTTGAAGTGCAGTTGTGGATTCAGGGGCTAAAATGTCTTAAATAAATTCTCTATTGGATTATTTTTTTCCTGATACAGAAAATATAAGCGAAAAGTATCCTATTTTTACAATGAAAATAGTGTGCCTTGGTTGTTTTTAATAAGTGTGTATCGATTTCCTAGTAATGATGTCAAATTAAGTGTTGTTTCAAAAAGTATTATCTAACAAAACTTTTATTGTAAATTTGCCACGAATGGTGTACCTAAGGAAAACTTAATTATTCTCTAAGAAATTCCGATCAATTACTGTAAAATCATAGTATAAATTGTTGATGATGTATTAGAAGTAGTGTAGGTGTATTACTTGGAATTACACAACAATTTAAGTTAAACACACGTACGTTGTTCACTAACCGAAGATACATGAACACATGAATAATATACAATATAAAAGAATAAATAGTATAATTCTTGTACAATTGTATAAATAACAAAAGAGGAGAAACTTTTTTCTAGTCACGTGCCAAAATTGTACAATCTTTTAAAAAAAAGTTGTACTGCCCTATAAATATAATAATAATATTTCAAAATATACCTAATCGAAATTAAAAAAAAATATTAATACATTAATTTATTTTTTATTCAATTTTAATTTTCGTTAGAGAAATTATTTTTATTTTTAAGAAAGGAACAGAAATAACACAACTTAAAATAAGCACAGGCTGCAACCGATTAACTGATAATACATAAATGCTAATTATTTATTATTAATGGAAAAAGTCTAACGCAGACTAGTTTCTCAATCTCAGAATTCCCTCTAGTGGGATATTTTGACCATATAATTTGTTGGATAGAAGTTATAAAAAAATATGCGGGAATAGTATTGAGGTATGTGGAATGGAAATACGTTCTAGAAATGGGGAACAAGTAATTATGTGATTATTAATTCTAGAATGAAGGAAATGTCTGCAATCTTCTGACGGGTAGATATTAAGTATGGTTGAGATCATTTTGAATTAAAAAAAGCACAGTACAATTTACGATTATAATGCTTATTACTACTTATGATATAATATAATTATTATTTCTCTAATGTAATCCATGTTTCTCTTATTGTTATCAATTTTTATTTTAGTATACGAGTTAGCACATACAATTTAACTTATAATTTAATTTATCAGCATTTAATTATTTGTATACTTTCTATGTTATGCATTGATTGCTAAATTATAATTGAAATTCAGTAAATAACAGTTTTTTAATTTTTTTTCATTGAGTTGAGGCTTCAACATCTATTTTCATTAGCCTGAAGGTTATGTAGTAGGTTTTTGACTGTGGGAGAGAGTAATAAGGTCGGTTAGAAACTTAGAACACGTGTATACGTGGCGAGGATTTGTTACTAGAAATATGGTGGTCACCCACCCGGGAACTACTGTTACCGGGTGATGCTTGACCTTAGAACACGTTTGTGACTGAGGCCAAATACCGCGCAACGCCAGACCACTTTTTTTACTTTGTTGAATTTGTTTTCCTATATTTTATAATTTATTACGTGCCTTTATAGCATAAATAAAAACATTTTTACGCATTTTATAAAAATGTACTTCATTTTTAAGGTTTCAATAATAATGTTTTTTATTTACATGCAGAATAGAGATATTTAAACACTCGCAGTTCTGTTTTTACGCTTTAACAGTTGAAATGAACAGTTTAAGTTCAACTGAAAGGTAAAAATTAAAGCTACAGCGTATATTATAATGTATTACTACAGCTGACTTTTTTATTACAAATAATAACTTTTAGTAAAACATAAGGGCAATTATAACTGTTTTTTAAGTTAATAATAATATTATGTAGAAAAAATAAATTAAAAATTAAATAAAAACAAATAAAAACATTGAGGTTGTGTCTTGAATGTTTGCCACCATTATAAATTGTATTTCATGCATTAAACATTTTAACCCAACTTAAAGTCGACGGCACGTCACACAACTATTTTACCAATGTTCAACTATAGGATTTTACGAATCTATCCAAGTACGCAAATAAAATATGTAAATACGATAAATTCTAACTAACTCCAATATGGTCGCAGAAACGTATGAATGTAAATAACTGTCTATCCGTACAAGGGACCTGTGAATAATATGGGTGACATGATGTGAGTATTACCTTGACGCGAAGTACTCGGATCGTAATCATCGAGAACGGGTGACCGGAAATTATGCGGTTCACAAATATAATACCAACATTATTTATTTATTTTTATTAATATATAAAAAAAAATTCAACCCTCGACATCGTGGCCAATTGGAGTTACTTTTTTTCTTGTAAAATACAATACAGAATTATTAAATTACAATAATACAACAATAATAATACTAAACACAAATTTATAAAGTTTATATTTAGGTACTTTAAATTAATTTATCCAAACCTGACTGCTGGAGGAAGGAGAAAATCAGTTATTTATTAATTTATTATATAAATAATAATACGCTAGAATTTTGTCGCACTTCACAACCTTAATATAATCATTGTAATTCATTTATAAGCATTATTCATCTTGGGCGACGACACGAAAACGATTTGATCGAGAATCTTTAAAAATAGGTCGGAGCAGCAAATGCCGGGGAAAGACGATCGTCCGCCACCGTACTATTGCTCGCTAGTGTATACTTAGGTGCCATGTTAATATGTTATTCTACTATCCAATGTAAACCACGATCACCAAATATTTAACACAAGTCGAACTGACTGACTTCATAAGGACTTTATACAGTAGTTGTACTTAAAGCGACTTCACTCTGCTCCGAGAACCGTGCTTTCCGGAAAAAAAATGAAGCTCTGTGATTGGCTGTGATTGGCTACGTAGCGGTTAACCATGACGGTTATAAGTAAATACCACGTTATATTGCAGATACCAGAAATTAGGGGGAAATCCTATAGCTGACGACATTTTGCAATAAGAACGCCCACGTTTAAACAATTTGTAAGATTAAAATTCCTAAATACGTATGGTATGTAAATTAACCGGGGTAGAAGTCGTAAATAATTATACCATTGGTAGTCCGTAATAGGCGAGTGTACGGAAAGCGGCAAAAGATAGATGGCGCTTTTTGCTGTCTCCGTAGGTACCGTGTGCATAATATATATATATATCTATTTATTGTCCATACCAAATTGACAGGTTAGATAAGCGTACGATACCTATGTGTTCAGTCTAAATCTAAATTCCACAATAATTATTGTAAACATCTATTGTCCAAAACAGCATACATCACTCCGATATGTTTTACCACCGCTCGCAATACTGTTGTTATTTACAGTTTGTGTGTAGTAGACAGTTAGGTCTAGTTTCACACTGCTCCGACATCCGTGAACCATGATTTCAAGAAAAAAAAATTCAGCACTGTGATTGGCTCTTGTGGTTACCTACATAGAGGTTAATTATAATTTTTTTTCCATCTTCGGTCAGTCTTAAAGAGATTCACAACTCGCGTTGTGTAGTCATGTAGAGTTGAATATATTCAACTTGTAGGTAACGTGTGACCAACATTTTGTTATCTATGTATTAAATATACGGAGTATGCATTGATTTGTGAACCCCCCTACAATGAAAAGTGGTAGTCACCAACTCGCCAACATATACTGTTATCGCAGCCCGTTAACGATTCTCGGTCATACCGTTTTCGTGTTGCTGTTCATAAGTGCGACAACATTGCAGAAAATGGAGTAATCCGTTAGTAGACGTAAGTATATCTTTACAACCACTTTTCATCACTTCCGATCTGACGAAACACATTGCCCATTTTCCGAGGATGTAATGAGCTCCGAGTGACGTGTCGAGATAGTAGTACCTGATATAGACCTATATAACTTACATGTCCCTAGTGTTGAGACTACACCATGGTTTTTGTATAAAATGTACTGTAGTTGAACATAACGCCGGCATCTCAGCGTCTGAAAATCTTGCAAAATAGGGGTTTGAAACTATAAGAGGATGAACACTTTCGGTATTAATAGTGTTGCATGTTGTTCAAAGTTAAATTAAATAGTCATAGTAAATACCCTTAATATTCCGCATTCTCAAAAATAGGTTTACGATTTCACTTAACTAACATGAGATCAATTTGCCATTTTTTTCTGTAAATCCGTAAACATACATTACATCACGAATCTGTGCATACTGATATTATAGGTAGGTATATTATGCTTTAAATGTGAGCAACAGTGACCTGTGGTATGTGGATAACTCGGTGAATATAACAACAAACGGTCGATGGTAAGATAAAAGCCGAAGACGTTCGATGAATTTAAAATTATATATGAAAATATTTAAGTCAATATACCCACACACGTCTTACTTACAACATAGCAAATTTGAGTTCGGGTGAATCTATTTTGTATTACTAGTTTCTATAGTGTAATTAGTAAAAAGGACTTTGCCCATTGTCAAATTTAAAGGTAAAAATGTTATCGAGGACATGCTATGAATGCAATTTTAATTTTAAAGTAAATTATAAATTATAAATTATAACCATGTGGAATATAAGAGTTTATTTTACAATCATCATAACTCGCTTTTAAATTTGAATATAAAAGCTTACGAGATTCCCTAGATCTAATATATTATATAACTATATATAGGTAATATCTCTTACCTTTTAATTAAATAATAGGTCGATATAATTCCACTTAAATTTTAATTAACAACACTAAACGGATTCTGCTGTATCCTGTACATTTTTAAAACAAAGACAACATAATATTAAGCAGGTGTAACGTCATCTTAAGTTTTGTACAATACGTATAATTAAGTATAATATAACTATGAACAACACTTTAAGTATTATGTTACTATTTAATTTTCACTTAATATAAAAATATAATTCATAGTTAAATACTACTTATATCAGAATTTTAAAATTATATAATACAACACAAGCAATTTAAAAATATGACGAACAACTTTTTTTTTTTACGGCAAACAGTTCATTAAATACTCCACCTCTCGTAGTATAATTAAAAATTTGAACAAGTATGTGAACTAGTTAACTCATTTACCAAAGTACACATAATGACTAACCGATGTTATGAAATAGAAGGTAGGTGATTTGTGATTATAATTGAAAATGAAGAATCTTATAATGCTCGTTATATAGTACATTTTTACTTATTAAAATTTAAGAAATGTGAACAAGAATTCAAATTTTAAATCACAGGACACATATTATGATCTAGTTGAACAATAATTGTATTTAATCATAATTATCACAATTTAGTATTTACCCTTTGTTAGACCTTATACCATTTTTTTTATGAGCTCTCGGTCGCGATTAGGTAATATTATAAAGGTATGACTTTATATGATTTACAATTAATTCACTTTAGTACCATTTACCTATAAAGCTTTATAATTAATAATTATTATGTAACTATCTAACATTCTCCTATTTTCGAATATTATCTGAAATATAAAAAATACGTTTCAAACTTAAATAGTTACACTGAAAAAATAAAATCGATACGAAGTGATCAAGACTACTTACTTGACTGTGACATAACCTGGAGGAGGGGCAGTACACAACCAGACTCTTCCCTTGAATCATACCTATAATGGACCTAACCCAAATAGTATGAAAACGTTTAGTAACATTTCGTAACGTTCTAAAAACTATTGCCCCTTTGAAAAAATTCTAGTTGCGCCATTGATACTTATATCACTCTACAACGTCAAATATCATATTTATACATAAATTAATGTATACATCTCAAAATATTACAATATTACATTTTAAGAAAATTGGTAATATTATAAAGTATTGTTTCACTTCAAAAATTGTAGTGGTATCACTCATGAGTCCATGAGTTTAGAGTTAAAACGTTACCTATATTTAAAAATAAAAAATATTTTCTACAACCCTTCCTTTACAATTTAGTACGGTTAAGTTCTGGTTGATTTATAAAAATAAATTACTGTAGCAACAATCATTTAATTTTTTATTTTTATAAAAGCCACTACTAAATCAAACGTTATTTATTTTTAGATTTAGGAGGTTAAAAGGTCCGTTCTCGACATTCGTATTAAATTTGGCCACTGCCGATTTCGCAACTTCGATCTTGCATTTCATGTCAGCAGTGTCTTCATTCAAACACGAATGGATATTTGACGATATAGGTAAGTAACGATAACAATACGAATCTTCTCATATTTCAGTTTACTATTAAACTATGTGTACGTACTTCAGTGGCGTCATTCAGGACGAGGAGAAAGGAGTAATTTAATCGTAGGGGATCCTTGAAATCGACTCATCTGAATGTACCTCCACACAAGAATAAAATGTTTTAGTAAAAATATATTATGTACAATTTAATCTTTTTTTTTCATTCGTAATTTAAACATAATTCTGTAAATATTAGAGTACATTATTGGGGGGTTTTTTGTGACGTTGTAAATTGTAAGTTTTATTTTTTTACATTAGGTTCGTAAACAGATTTTCAATTGTAATTATAATATTATATCCTCCAATATGGCTTTGGTTGACGTCCACGGTATGACACGTCATTCAATGAAAGAAACATGGTGGAGAATCACTTATATTTTTAAAAGCATGAACTATCAAACATTTATTGTTAGTGATAATAAAGTCCCCCCCCCCATCTAGTAGAATCTGAAATGACATCACTGGCGTACATACTTCTATAATATACAAAATTCAACGTACACATAATTACTAATATAAACTATGTTGGTTTTAATTAAATGAAATAATTATGAGACACAAGCTATGCGATTTGAAATATTTTATGTATAGAGTATATTATATTATAATTGCATCCAAATAAAATATTGAAAATGCTTAGGTACTTGAACTCCCAAATGTTTATCCAAAAACTTAACACGTACAATAATATGAATGTATATTATATTATTATAGAGCTACTTGAAATAAACCTAAATAGTTTTAGAGCAGCCGACATTTTACCTCGTCGAGTAGGAACTGTAACATCTATAATCATCCATCAATATTAAACGAAAACGGCTATAAATAATTTAAGCTGTTGGTGTAAGAATTTATATGTGCGTTTTATAGAAAATTCAAAGAAATTCTTTTATCGTAATTGAGTGACGTGCATAAAATAACATAAAATAATTGGCATTTCATACGAGTGTAACATAAAAGTTTAATAAAGATTTATAAGAACATTAATTAACAAATATTATAATTTACGATGTCTTACATCGTGGTAATATTTTTTTTTTTTTGTAAACTTTAATTTCTGAATTATCTTTCGAAGCCTGATACACAGAACATTCTAGGTATTAATAATAAACCTAAATCTTACCCCAATTTAAATAGCTAAACATTTTAGCTATGAATATTTTTATTATAACGATCTTTCAAAAGTGTAAATTGTCAACTCAAGCGAGTAGCTATAAAAAAAAACCGTACTCCGTGTGTACACTCATAATTTATTTGGGACTAATATTATTTGACAATATATCATTGGTTGACATTTTGATGTTTACGAGAATAATTCAAACTATAGAGCAAAGAAAACATTTGAAACGAATAATCGGTTATTACTTAGTTTATGTACTCGTAAATTTATATGACGAGAGGATAAGTATACCTATTATTAGGATTTATGGTTGTTTTATTTTTGGACTAAGTTATGTTAAAATAATTAAGAAAACTCAAAAATAAAAATATAATTCACATTTCAAATTTCAAAAATTAACAAATGTGTGTTGATCCACATATACATTTTTGATAAGCAAAAAAAAAGTTATTTGGTCAAGTGGTACATGAATATTTTTTAGCTGTGTTGGTGGTTCGTGGGTATAAAAAGGGTAAGAACTGCTGATCTATGTTAAAAAGTATACCTACACATCTCAACATAATTCCATCTCCTGATAAACATAATGTACACTTTTATTTATATAATAAATAATTATAAAACATGATTATGAATTATGATACTTTTAAGCTAACCTGTTTAGTTATTGTATAATAATATTTTATCAGTTCATGTTCTATAACATTACCACAAAATAAATAAAAGCTGTCTTTTGAGTTTTGAATATATATTTATATTATTTTTATTATTTACTTTATATTGTGCAATTATTTTCTATAAATTCGTAATGTGCGATCAGAATATTATAATATAGTTACTGTATCAGTATCGTACTGTCAATTATTATCGAACACTATATAGTTAAGTACCTATATAAAATATTGCATGTAATTATATTATATCACTTCTCGATTCAGTAATATATTCAAATAACAGGAACCAATGATGAAAATATAAAAAATTTGTTTTACACAACAAACAATACAACCTGCACATTTCGTGAATAATATAATGATTAACGACATTACAGTTGTGCCATTTTCATTATTTGAACCCGCATGAGGAGGTGACCATAGAGCCTGAAAACAAGTAGTCAAGTAGATAACAACAACGAACATCAAACATTGCTGTAAATGCATCTAACACCCACGCCCATATTAGAAATTCTCTTGTTTAAAGTTTAAACAATACCGAAAAGGAATCACAAAGAAGTTACACATTAAGCAATGATAACTAAAAGATAACTAAGAAATTAATATCAAAAGTATATAGAGTCTACGCATTGTCATATTAATAGCTCTTTTACTGATTGCAGATAATGGAATTACATGTTATAAGACGTAATATTTTTATTTTTTATTTTTTTTAGTTGGAACAAAGTTCTTGTAGATGTACAAAAAATACAAAATGTTACAAAAGCAGCTGCGAGTATTAATTGATTAAAAATAAAACTAAGATTTATACCGGTTTATACAAAAATCAAAATTGATTATTTATTTTAGCAACCACGTAATTCTAAGTAAAATGAAATCCAAGCTATTATTCAGATCCTCCCAAAGACCATTATATAATCAAATAAGTAAATATAATTAGTGAGTTGATATTTTAGATTCTGAGCAGAGCAATGACATCAGCTTTAGTCAAAATGCATCAATATTGTAACTTTATGAATGGGTTCTGATATCGAATTGAATACACCTAGTTCTTATCATTTTAGGTGACAGAAGTGTCAAATAATCAGGAAAATGGGAACGAAATGTTTGGACTAAATTAATTTTATATTTTTAGTGTGAGTAATTAAGTATATTTAAATTTGTGTATGATACAATTTTAGTTCGGAAGTCAAAAACTTGAAAATTTAATACAAAGTTCCTCGCATGTAAGTTGTTCTTACAATTAATTACTTTGACAAAAACATAAAAATTTGCAAATTACAACGAAGTAAAATGCATACGGAAAATTCCTCAATAAACGATTATTGATAGTTTTTTGTAATTCAAAAAATATTGATTCTAACAACTTGAAGTATTCTCATACTACCGAAATGGTCTATACTAATTATGAGCTATCTATAGGCATTTTATATTTTCAAACTCCTTAGTTGTTTTTTTTAATACATTTTATAATAACATTTTTTCTTGATAAAAAAACACTTAAAATAAAAAAAAAGGTTTCTGATAAGTTACGTTCATTTAAAAATATGAAGAAAATACATAGACACAATAATTTTATGGACATTCCAAGTTCCAAATTTGACAAATTGAAACACAAAATAAAAATCTTTTCTTTCACGATTTTACTTAAGTTGTATTTCGAAAAATGTTAAAATTGGAATTTTGTATCATATATTTATTAACATTGTAAATACGATTGTATATATATACTGTATTTCCAACTGTACGTCAATATTGACTTGTAAATGAATAACAATAATATATGATATTATATTTATTATTATTGATAATTCTTATATATCATGTGATATTTTTGAGAAAAATTAGTTAAACCTACTAGTAGAAAAATTATAACTATTTAAATTTTAAAAAATATCGTTAAAAATACAACCAATACCTAGGAGGCTGACCTACCGTCTTCACTCAGAATCGTTTTTTTTATGCAATGATTCATCATTGAATCCAAATATAACGTATCTATTACAGTTATCTACACAATGATAATGTCGTATAGGCGCACTGCTATCTACTATCCAGCAGAGCGAATTCTCCGATTGTTATTAAGGCTCTTAAATTAAAAACTAAGAGGGCACGCATCGGCGTTAATTGTTTGACTGTTCTAACTGAGTTCATTCTTCTGAATCACTGAGGACATAAATATTTACGTAAGCTGGTATTGCTATATTTAGTATAGCTGGTTTTAATTATAGCTATAATGTTGAAGAAGTATGCTAAACTCAAAAAAATCCAGCGATACGATATAAAATATAAATGCATTCCGTTAAGAAGTTTCTCATTGCTAGGGTAGCTAATATATTAGTGTAAATTATTTATTCTAATAAGTTATTATTATTTTGTATAGTGAATACTGAACAGAATATATTTTGTTTGTTAATAATCATATTCATATAGGTATGTTAGCAAAATAAAAAAATGTAATCCTAAATTTTACTTTTTATAAATTAGAAACTTAAAACTTCTAAGTAAAAATATTTTTAATTGACAAAATATATTTTTAATTCAAGTGAACAAAATTGTATTTTTACTGTACCTGTTTAGGTAGTGTCTAAATAACGTATAAAAAATGAGATTAAAACTTGAAAATAGTTTAAAACTTTTCTCATCAATAGTAACAAACTAATATTATCATCTAAAATCGATTTTTATGAGTTTATTGTCTCTAAAAAAATAGTTCATTATATACTTTTTTAGCTGAATTTGCTATATCTTAAAATACAATTGTACTTTCGTTGGATTTTATTCAATTTAGAAGTACTCAGCTATTTTAATATAGATCACGTTTGTGTGTCGGTCGTGCATTTATATATGCAGCACTTGCGGAATGGAATATATTATAATAACCATATAGAATTCATACATGCAGCAAAAATTCCTCACCGTTGCTTAGGTTATATAAAATATGTAAAATAAGTTACTCTAGAGTCTGGAGTGATTTTAGAGCAAAAGCACAGAAATTAAAAAATTAACATTTTCTATGCCATCACTTACTCGTTTTTATCATAAAATATGTGCTCCGTATAATGCAAGGAAACATTTGAACATAAATAATACAATTAAAACCAATTAAAAATTTGTTGTTTAAATCTTATTATAGTTTTCTGAAGTTTCCGTATAAAACATTTCTAAATCCATAATTTACGTACCCTTGGGATTTTTATACTGTACAGTGTATCCTTTGTTTATTACGACGTATTTGCAATCGAGACACGTCTGATTTTCTATTTATTTAATAGTTTAAATAAAAAATTTAATTTTCTACTCCATTGATTTAATAGTATTTTCTATCTTTAAAATACGTTTTCTCGTGAAAAATTATCTATATTTATGTCTATTTGTCTTATAACATAATTAATTTAAATTATTTAAGCTATTATCTTCTTTATTTTACCCATCAATATTTTAAATTAAACTAGACGATTATACTCAAATAATGGTATCCAATCATTGAGTTATAACGATAGAATTTGTTGATCTAAAAAATAATATGAAACTTTTATATTGAAGTGGATGTTATTTATTAATTATTATATAATATTAGTATAGTTAACTATAACAGAGAATTCAGAGAATTATTTCTATTTATTGTTAATTTATTAATAAGTAATTTTTATTTTGTAAATATAGTCAACTTCAAAATGTAAAATTATATTATATTATAATATATATTCGAATTTATTTAATTGATTCTGAGAAGGTACCTCGCAGCTATATACTATAATATGGTGCTGTAAGAGATAGTTGAGATAGTTCTTAATAAATTCAAATATGCTTCAAATATTTTAAATTCTGATAATGACGATATTAAATATTTTAAATTCTAAAAGGACAATATTCTTAACAAATTCAACTTTCATATTTTATAAAGAATCAACAAAAAATATGATTAATAACTGTTAGAAGTGCATCAATGTTTGTAATTTGTTAGAACTCTATTTCATAAAAATAAAAAATAAAATCAAAGAAGGTGGAAAACGGTTTTGGTCTCCGAAATGATATTCGCACTTAGGATATAGGATAATATATACCTTGTTTACTGAGTGTAATTGTTTTTAAATATAACTTGAATTAATTTTTTTCTACACAATAGACATGTCTTGATGATTAGTAAAAATTACCACTGCCTAGAAATCGGTTGCGAAATTTGAATATGAATTTAAACGCATCACTATATACGTACATTATGGTTCACGGAGGTATTTGAGGTGCCCAATTGTTAAAAATCTCATGAGACAATATAATTCTAAGGTAAAATGTTGAGAACAATCACATAGTTTTACCTGTATCAATATTTGAGGTTGAATAAATTAAATTATTTCACTTGAATAAATATCTCAAGCTTTTTAACATGGATTTAAAATTTAAATTGCAAAGTTGTCTGTAAACCAGTATTCTTTATAGATAGATTAAAATAAGTGATTCAATGCCATAGAGCGCAAATTTGTCTTTAACTGCACGTATTTTATTGTAGTTGATCGTATGATAGGGTAAGTAAGCACAAAATGTGTTTCATAGTAAAGAGATTGAAAATATGAAATTTTTTTAGTGCGTATTTTTACGTTAACTTTTTTTACAATGTTTTAAGAACTAATTTTACGGTTGTAACTTCATTCGTCATCTTTTAGTGCAATTTTAGGCTTTTCTACACATTTTCAAAGAACTTAAGAAAATAATTATGATCAGAAGTTTGCTTTTATATTTTGCGATTTATATTGAAATAAATTAAAATAAGGGAAGTATATAATATTATATACTACAAACGGATTTCCCTCATTTGCGATATCACTAATGCTATTTAGCTATCAGTAGGTACATATAATAAACCCTTCTAAAAATGAGAAAATATCAATTTCAAATCATTGACTTTATTTATTTTTAAAAATGTTTATAAAAAAATTCTTTTTTTTTGATAATTTTCGTGTAAGTACATGGTTTCGTACATATTTGAACTTTTTAGTGAATAATGTATGTATGCATCGTTCATGATTTGCAGGTTTTTATTACTTATACATTTATACACATTTATCCACGGTCTATTCCTTGGTATGGGCATTTTGTTGTTCTACAAGCATTACGCGATGCAATATTAGTGTAACAACTAACAAGTATAGCTAGGTACAAGGTATAAGGTCTATAACATAACAAGTGCACACTAACCTAACCCACTTGTTTATGGTAGATTATGTGTATTGGACATTTCTTACTTCAGATAAAAACTCATTTTCAATGTACCAATTGGCAATATTGATAGAGTAAAGTGAAAAAAATTCTTAAAACTGCAGGTATTAAATTTGTCTTTATGTCAAATGAGATCGACTTTACATAATTGTGTATCTTATTCTATAAATTCTAAAGAAAAAATTGCAAAGAAATAGACATTTAAAAATTGTAATATTGAACTTATTAATAACTTTTCTGTTGAATATTACATACTTTATTCTTAGATACTTGCTTAAGTTTTATTTATTTTCATATTCATCTATTGGAACTCTAAATGTAATATGTAGTAACCATACATACTCAAAATGAATTGGACCTCAAAAGTTGTTCAAATTAATCTATTTATTGACTTAACAATTTACAAACATTCAAAAATAAATGTAAATTTTAGGTTTTGGAGCAAAATTATGTACGTATATAATATTATTCATTATTACGTGTAAGTATTTTGATCTGCCTATACATGTATTCAAGTAAACGAATACTTGCTGTAAATTATTCAAATAAATGTCTAGATGACTAGTCAGGCATATATGATTTGTACGTGAGTAACATTATTGAAACTTGCTTATTATGGTGTACTTACTTATACGTTTATTTTGATATCATTTACACTTCTCGTTCTACACATTCCTTTTAGATTGATCGTGTTGGTTGAATATTTAAAGACTCGTGGTTTAATATGTACAGACTACGAACGAGTAACTCAACAACTAGTATCGTGTCACATGTATAATGCTCTAAGTGGGATGGTACAAGCAAGTAGAACTGAATTTCAGAATTCGATTGTGATTCGATTTTCCAAATAAATAAAATAGGTACTGAGCCACTAAATAATATCTGGAAGGCCAAAATTTAAAACATAAAATTATACCGTTCCACAAAATATACAAAACATACATTAACATAACAATAATTTTAGGCGTTTAATTTGTATATTAAACTTAAATTGATAATTATATTTGCTATAATTGATTATGTATCCATAAATGTGGGAAAACAAAATGTGAGAAACAAGTATAATTTCTGTCTGTATAACATGATAAATTATTAAAGATGCGAGTTTATTGTATCATGCGCTAGTGCAAAATTGTATTAATTATACCGTATACGAGGTCATGGTATGTAATTGTTTTATACAGGTTGAATAAAAAAAAATACATTAGTTACTATTATTAGAACATTAATTTAATATTTAAGAATATAGTTTAGTATGAACTGTACATTACTTTAAATTTAAATTATTTCTAGTCACTAAATAATATACCTAGATGTATAGCATGATCCAGACTAATTAGTTACTAACTAATTACTATTTACTGGTTGTTAAAATGTTTTCTGCAGTAATTAAGTCTTTTTAAAACTGGTCATAGATAATGTACAATAGTTTTATAACCTGTATTAAATTGCCGATAATTCAAGGTATAATTTACTGGTATAATACGATTTTAATACCAGTATAGTACAATATCTTACAAAAAAATAAAACATCTCTAAATATGATAGTATCACAAAACTCACGTTCACATTTCCACTAATATCATTCATGTTTGGTTTTAGACGAAGGACGCCTTTACAAAAATATTATGAGGACTTATTTTTTATGTCTAAACATTCAATTTGTATTATTGTCATAAGCTTAATATACTATGTAGAAGATAATAGATTCAGTACACATATTTTATAATTTGTGAATCGTTTAATAGAAACGGCCCAACATCAAAAATAATGTCCTCTTTTTGTATAGGTGTTTTTCGTCTAAAAGCAAATGAAGACAAATGATTTTTCTTAACAATACCATTGTGAGTTTTATGATACTTATTAATTCGCTGAGAGACAAAAAGGGGTGGGCGGTAAGTAGATATGTATTTGAATATGTTTATATTTATTCCGTGACGTCATCTGAAATCGGAAACAAAATAATGACCGTTCTGGTTGTTTTTCAGGATGCACAATATATGCTTTCGGAGTGGGACAGTTTGGTTTGGTATCGATCGTCACTCTTTCCACCATAGCGATTGAAAGGTACCTAGTGATCACTGCGAAACCCGTGTCGGGGTCTTGGAAGTTAACGAGACAGGGTGCGACAAGAGTAAGTACACACTACACAAACAATACACAATATCATTACTACCGGATATGATAATTTACTGATATACCCTAATATTTTATTGAAATAGTTATGCGAGTATTGTAATATATTTTACACATTTATTATTTATTGAATAATGCCGAGCATAATATATTAAATGCGTGTGGGTATACGCAGAACATTAGTAGATATTTTAACCCATTATTAACGTGATATTAAACCACTATAATAGTATACTTGTATGCTATATAATATCGTAACGGCGTACACATTGCACAAGACGTTTTAGTTACCAGTGCGCTTAAAATATTCGTTTTGGCACGAGTGCGAACAAAATGCTCAATCAGTTATAATATTTACACATATATTTTAAAATATTATGTGTATTATCTATAACATAAACTAAGGCTAGGTATTGTTTTTTTAATAGTTATCTCCCAACATGCGGTCTACCGCCATTTTATATTATTTAGTCCCACAGTAAACCCTTGCAGTTTTTAAAAAAGTTGTTAAAAACTACCAAAAAATAATTACCATTTTAGGTAGAGAATTGTTTTACATAATAATTTATATAATTTGAATTATCTTGTAATTAGATTATTTTAAAATCGGTAGCTTTTTCTAAAATGTTTGCTCTTTTTAAAAATTTAGAAATGTTGTTGCATTTTTCCAGTTTTATTTTATAATATTAGCAACTCTAATTTGGAATTTAATACAAGAATAATATATTATACAATCAATAATTAAACATAATTGTAATAAAAAAATTTGAAAACTAAAAATTAAAAATGATGTCCTGAAATATTTTTTTTTTCGTGTAAAGCTTTAAGTTTCTTTTTAGATCTATTATTATTTAATATTTTACGGGATTATTAAAGTTGTCATATTTTGTACACTAACCTAGCGACACACGCTTTATACTTCCATATTTTAAAAAAACGTGTAATTTTGAGCTATAAATAAAAATACAATATTATTTTAATATAGTTTATTTGATATGTTTGCCTAACAATAGTACTTTTACATTTTGTTATATCTTTGCTTTATTTTTAGGTGTGTGCGTTTGTATGGATATACTGTTTGTCAATAACATTGCCGCCTATTTTTGGTTGGTCAAAATACGTATTAGAAGGTTTCGATACATCATGCTCGTGGGACTATACGACCAGAACCGTCTCAAATCGGTTATTTTATATTTACATGTTGGTGCTCGGATTTGTTTTGCCGGTCTCCATCATTACATATTGCTATATATTCATTATTGTGTCAATACTCGACCACAATAAAGAAATGGCCGATTGTAACACTAATATAGGACCGTTGGGCACAGGTTAGTGACTTTATTTTCACGAAACTACAATAATATTAATATATTATGTTATCAACAAATTAAACAATGATTACAAAACATGTATTTTTATTAGATATTTTCAAAATAATATGAGTGCTTCACTACTTGCGATTATTACAAAACAGTAATAATTTTTATATTAGTATTTATTATAAAACTAAATTATTAACGGAAAAAAATTTGAACAATAAACGATTTATAGATCAACTAAAACCTTGCAGCTGAAACACCTTTAACACCTTTTAATAATTGTTCATAATTATTTTTACACTTGAGAAGCTGTTGACAAAATCCCTGTTTCTGGTCTAAATGGGTTCTTTACACAACTTTTTGAACACTCCTTCAATTAGAGAAAATTATTTACAGTAAAAAATAACAAATAAAAGGATATTCAATTCAAATATATTTAAACCACCTATTTGAGAAACGACGTAAGTCCATAAAAGGTAATTCTGAGAAAACAAGTAATAACAGTTTAGTGTTTTTAAGCTACCAGTGATGCATGATTATTTCTCTTTCATACTGATTATTTACAGTGGTAAAATTAGACATGATTTTTGCAAATGTTCACACATGATCCATCTATCATTTTATAGCACATTTCACTCAATATCTCAATTTGTGATATTTTGTGACTTACGTTTTTTCTCAAATAGATGGTTCATTTATCATTTTTCTCAAATACAATAAATATTAAAAATTAATGATCCATTCATCGATTATTTTAAAAGCAATTAATCCTAGATCACCGCATCAATTATTTTAAGTTTATCGACTACATACGTATATATTATTACATTATACATCTCATATAGAGAATGTAGGCTTAGACTTTTAGAAAGATACAATTATGGGCCAAGTGTGGCAGTTCAATAACCTATAACTATAATTATAGTCTCACACAGAGTGATTTTAAAATGGGAAATCCAAATGATATTTTCACATTATAGTATTATGCGTTTAATATATTGTTTAATAGATAATGTAAAAACTTTAAAAATCGTAAGTCTTAAACGGAAAATCACTTTTTTCTATATCCAATCGATAGCCTTATTATGTATATAACATTCGCATGAGAAATAATCATTTTAGATAGGTATCAGGAAAATGTTTTTAAAAATTGTAATGCAATATTTTACCCATTAAAAAAATCGTTTTTTTTACAGAGAGTTGGGATTACAGATTAGCTTTAAATGTCACCAGACGAGGTCAAGCTGTACCTATTCGATCTGCCCTGAGAACGTCATATATAATCTTAATCCTCATTGGATTGTTTATAGCGTCTTGGACTCCTTATGCTGTGGTCACGTTTGTTGGTCAATTTGGAGACAGCCAAACAAAGATAGAGCCTTGGATTTCTGCTCTTCCAGCCATATGTGCTAAGGTTTGTCATAAAGTCTTATGCTAACTTAACTTACTTATATTTAAAAAATCATCCCTACAAATGTTTAATACGTTCATATTAATAAACAAGTATTTATTTTTAAAAAAATATTTAAATTCAGTTCGTCATAAAATATTTTAACATTATAATAGTATAACATATTATTTAAATTTTAAAAAAGAATACCCAAACTAAAAAAAAAAAATATTGCACTTAAAAGTAATGCTAAAAAGAATAATGCCAAGCAGTTTAAGACTGATATTGATATCATTATAATTGTAATGCATGGGCCGGACGTAGGTACTTATATTGTTCAGAATATAAATGTCGAAAAAAATGTCATAACTTTTAACCCTTTTACAGCTGGGAGAAATGCATTTCTTTTTTTTGACACTTCTAGACCTCTATAATACTTTTTTACATAAAAAAAAAACATGTACAACTAAGTTCTTTTTAGAGTCTTAAGTATTTTTATTTATATTCCACCCAAAGCTATAACATAACTTTCAGCTAAATCTCTATACTGGTATTAATTTTCATATTGTTTTCGTTTTGTTTCTACTACAAATCACAATTATACAAAATAATAAAAATATTTTATTTTGTCATCCATTAGTTCAAGAATAAAATTAATCTACCTATTTGCTGAATCAAAATTAAAATTTGAAAAATATTTTACAAAACTATAATTTAAATGTATTCTATAATAGATTCATGTTTATGATATTTTAAAACGAATTGAACTATATCTATAAGTTATTGGTTATTCTGATTATAGTATTAAGATAAATTATGATATCAACATTAGATTAAATAAAAAACGATATTACAATACAAAAGTAATTAAATTAAATTTATTAGTTATAAATAATAACTAGGTAACTTTTAAGTTATTATTATAACGGTTAATATAAGTAAATTTATTAATATAAATCATTTTTGATGAAACATCAATAAAAAATAGTAATGATAAAGTCACATAAAAACACCAATATATACCTATTATAATACTATAATAGTATAATAGGTTTAATATAACATTCATTGAATATTAATATTACATTCATTGTGTGTTCTCTTGAATATCTACCAACCAATATTTTAATAGTATGACTATCATTAGTATAATGATCATAATATTATATGCATAATTGTAATTAACACATTTTTATACAGGCGTGCTCACGTCATGACAAATGAACATTACAAATTATACTGCGAATCAATTTAATCCTACAGTGATTATTCTTTATAATACTTAGTAGCTGACTTGATACAGCTAATATCGAATTATTAAAATTTCATTTATACCTACAGAAATAAAGTTATAACTTTTAATAGCATTACTTTGTACTTAAAACCAGATTCCTGTTCCACGTAATTTATTTGCCCATAGTTTAACTATTCTCAAATTATACCATATAGTTTCACTACACACCAAATAATTTTAAATTTCAAAGGACTGAAGCACTTTGAATAGTTTTTATATTTTGAATTCATGTGATGAACTTATATAAAGTTATATTATACTTGAATTTTAAACTCGTCGAAAACTAGAGGCTGTTTATTATTCATTCATTGACATAATATTAGTCGTAAGATATTCAAGAATATGCTACGCACTTACGCACGATACATATATCGTCATTCGTCTTATTTCTACGTTTTGTATCACTTTATGTTATACTCTATTCAATCATTGTCGTGAACAAACAAAAATAAAATAAAACATCATTATTGAATTCAGAATTTTATTTTCAACGCATAAAATATATTGTTTATTCAAGTATATAATATACACCAAAATATAAGACAATATAGCATCATTTTTTTTTATTCTGTTCTAATGACTTTGATCTTCGCATTAACTGTTCTACCTTTGACTTACCTACAAATATCCTCGTTTCGATTTCACAACTTAATTTATTCACATTTTTTTAAATATATTAGGTGTACCGAATTGTTTTCATCATATTATACTGCACACTTTTCTCGCGGTTTGAAAATCTAAAAATCAATCTAATAATATCCAACTAATAATACCTGCAATAGGGAACGGACTATAAAATATTATATTGTAATCGTGACACGTCTCTTTATATAAGTTGTGGCTTGTAATTATATTGTACATAATTCAAAGGCTCTGAAAAATTATAATATTAGGTACCTCGCGCCATGCTCACGAACTACAATAATCGAACGTGCAGTGTATAACATTATGCCATATTCCCGCAGGCGTCCGTGGTGTACAACCCCATAGTGTACGGCCTCTCTCATCCACATTTCCGGTCGTCAATCCGGAACTACATATCGGGCTGTACGACGGTGGGTCACAGCCACACTGAGCTGTGCACCCCAGGACGCAATCAGCGGTTAGTGACGAACAAGAGCCTCAACCGATTCGCTTTGCTCACCGGACAGGACCGGAACCGAGCGAACGTCGTCGAACTGAAATGCGTACGTCACCGGAGGGTGCCGCCGGACTCAAATTCGATTGGCATGGACTATTACAGCGAACCCGACTGCCGGTGAGTAAAAGTACCAATGGGTACGAAAACCTAACATCGAAATGAAAAAACGATTATTTTTTTTTGTTTTATTTTCAAAATCTATTCCGTTTAAGGTCGTATCGTAATTATGTGTTTTCAAACTGCAGGAGCCTAACCTTGACTATGGAACCGAACCGGGGCTCGGCGATCATCAAAATAGACAAAGTTCCATTTAAAGTCGTCATGTCCACAATCAGAAGTAAAAGCGTCAACGGGAAAATAAACACGAGTGAGTCCATTAACGTGTTAGTTATTTTATTTTTTGTTTTACTTACTTGCACTATTTTATATTACTATTTACTATTTAGGTAGGCAACAATAACATTAATGACTATGCTTAAATTATTATGTAGGTCCACACACACTGCAGCGGTGGCGGTAAAATTATATTTTCTTGACAGTTGGCTGTGCTAATACCTCTGCAGACGCAGTGGTGCGGGTCTTTAAGAGGACGCCACCCCCGATATTTAAGGGGTTTAATGTAGGAGATTTTAATGAAAGTTTGAAAAGAATTAAAATGTTTAATCCTAAATAAATTTAAATACTAATTCAAAGTATTTTAAAACAAGGTGGCATGTCAGAATACCAAAATTGGTTGTTCTGTAATAATAGGATTATATACAGAAAAAAAGGGATCATGCGGGACAAACTTACGAGTGGGTACATTATTTACAATTGATGTACCAAATATTATTCATACTATGCATAAAAGAGAACTTTAACTGAGTCGAAGAGTTTTTTATTTCTTCTATGTCAATGCTCAATGATTTTTAAAAATCAAAAAAAAAATTATTAATTTGCATTGTCTTTAAGTTTTCAAAAAAAAAAAAAAACGAACGCTAAGGCATAAATAAATTTCTTCTTTACCTTTGATAAAAATTTGGTGAGACTACTGTGAGTACTCTCTCGATAAATTTGTCCCGAGTAAAACCATTTTCAATTCAAATTCAAATTATGGGCTGTGGCATCCTCTTATATATAGCATACCTGCTACCATTCCGCCATCGCCGTTTTTAGGATTTTCTTGTAATTCAAAAAATAAACAATTATTTGCTAGTTATAATATTGGCCATTGCCCATTAATCGTAACTGATCAGACGATGAAGTTATAGTTGAGTATTTTCAAATATTTGGTACACTAAGGTAACGTGATAACCACGTGGTACACGGTGATAGCGAAATATAATATACATGCCTTATCTTACTTACCTAATTATTAATTAAAATTATACACGGTATAGCTATGCGTATTGTGTTTTTGTACAATAAAAGCAAACGGATGAAAAAAATCCAATTATGCAAGTGAATAGTAATTGTGCATCGATTGGTGGCCGTGAGTTCGACTGTATACAACAAAAACTGCAGTATTGTTCCTATTGCAGCATCACAATCAATACACGCTTATAATACCTACCTACCTAATTAGCCAAACGCATGCCTTTGTGATCAATTTAATTCCAGTCAACTGTTATGTACGGTATAGTGGTATCTGCCTATATAAAATACACGGTCGTCATAATATTCTGATATCTTGTAATAATATCGTTGGTGTCGGTTGTATAAAAACTATAAAATATGACGTTAGCCGGCAGTAGTTGGAGTTGTGCGTCATCGATACTGCTGCAGTCCGGGCGCGGTATACCCTCGCGAGATCTCCACGTGGTGGTGGTAGGTAAGAACCTCCCCCCCCCCCATAGACCTGATATAGTGATATTGATATGAGTAGGTAAACTTGGATAATTTCATGTGAAATGCAGTTCTGCTAAAGTTTTTTTATTTATTATTATAGAATAAATTCCGACTTGGAAAACATAATATTATGTCCGTATAAATTTAAAATTCACATGGACATAATATGTATACGTACACACACAATATAGATAAAAAATAATATTACTTCGGTATAATGTTCATAGTTGAGACTTTTTCGGGTATCTCCAGGACTGCACGCTCTGATTACTTGTATATTTATTATGTGGTGTACCTAATGCATCGTATTCGGTATCACCCCTGCGGCCCTGCGTAATAGTTATCTCGATAAGTCTTAGGTATAAATGTATAATGTATTGTAGGTTAGCATACCCATAACTTATTTACCGACACTCGATGGTACGCACATTTTGACGTCATCGCGCAAGCCCGTAAGAGCCAACTATTTCATTTTATTATTCCAAGCATAACATTTCTCTGCCCGGTTCACGCGTGCATTATTTTGACGTCCGGTCCAGGGAAATGAAATCAGTAAGACACCACTCAATTATAGTAATAACATGACCCATCCGATTTGTTAAATTTGTTGGCATATTATTTCGTATTTAATTTGTAATTAAAAGAAATGTCGATAAATCAATTCGTTTTAATTACTATATTTTTAATACCCGAAGGATGAAACTCTTCAATAAATAATAAATGTGTTAACACTTTGCGAAACATCCCTTCTCTGAAAGTGACCTTGAGTATGCAACTGACTAGCTGTATTTAATCGTAATAGAATAAAACGCAATATCTCGTAAATAACTATTTTTTCGTGACAACCAGTGATCTGATTAATTTGGAAAATTGGTATATTATATCGATTAGATGGTGCAAATATCAATAGTGTGGAGGGATGAAGTAATATACATAATAATATGAATCCGTAATCCAAGGTTCCAGCAATCATTTGTCAACGTTTCGTGCTATTACGACTTACGAGCTATTCAAATGACGATTCGTCAGCAATAATAGTAATATATATACCATTCTAATTTCGATGGCAGCTACATAGATAGTAAGGTAGGACAGTACCCACTAATTTTTGTTTATCATTTTAATTAAATATAAATTTAAAAAAAAAATAAACTATATATTATTAATTATTATTATGTCATAATATCATATATATTATAATATATTATAATATAAGTTGTTAGGTATCAATGTACCTATTAATTTTAATAAGATTATTTTAAAGAGAAACGTATGCATTAACAATGTATAAAAAATATGTTTTTTACAAATAAATAACTCGTATATGATACATTTTTTGGTGTGAATGGCCAATTCAAACTAATTTCATCCAGATTGAACTGTTAATTGCATTAAGAGGGTGTTTTTCATAGTTTATAAATCGTTCCTATAAAACTAGTAATACAATAACAAATCTGAAAACATATTTAATTTTTTACGAAGTTTACAAATTATAAGTGTTTAAATATTCCTTAATTTTTACACTTTAAAATCAAATTAACGGGATGATTAAAGAGATGTGCTAAATTACTAAAGGTAGGTATGTTTTAGTAAAATCGAATCCCCTTAAGACGATGCCTGCGCACTATTTGTTTTCGCTCTCTGACAGTCTGTCTGATCCACGTGCAACATGGCGAATCTGAGTTTAGCAGAACTAATCTTGTGTTGTTACTTGTTGGCGTTAACAAAACCTTAATATATGAAAGTTATCTGTGTTCAGTCGTTAACTTTTTACGATAGGCATTTAAATTGTTCTACAAGTTATGAGTATGCAAAACATTACAATTTATAATACTTATATTTTAAAAAAGCTAATGTTGGGACAAACACAGATAATTTCCTCAAATTAAATTTTGGTACTAAATTAATGCACTCTTATGCTAATAAGCTTACTCTAAGTGTTAAACTAACGACATCACAAGGTTGATTTTGCTAATCTTAAATCTGTCATGTTAAGAAAGGAAACGACTGGTGCGCTAACAGCCGTTCGGCACTTAAACTTAACATACGATCCCAACAGTGTTTATGTGCGGCTACAGTAGACAGCCCAATAATTATATAGAGTATATAGCCACTTGTTTTGGCTGTCTGTTTATCATAAATTTTGTCACCGATGGGGTCGAATTATATCACATCATTTATATTACGTTATACGTTATACCGTCAGATTATCCCTGTCCGCACAGATAAATGTGGGTAGGAAATGTATGCAAATTTGATCCAAAACCATAAACACGATAGGGGTCAAATACATGAGGTCAATATATTAATACACTTATTGGATTTCATATTTTCATTATTGATTTGCTGACACGCAACTACACAATATACGCACAACGTATTCCGTATAATATTATACCGAACCTCGTCCGGGTAAACCAGTGCTCGGTATAGACCAGGCGCAGTTCCTGTTCTTCACAACTTGAAGTATATAGCTTCCGTTTCGTAGATAACAATGAAATATTTAAAAACTAATTTATCTTAAAAATAATACTTAGAAATTCAGTAGGTACGTTTGAAAACTCGCGAAATCACACTTATCTGTAGTTGTTAGGTAGTACAGCACAGCACATTACCCCGCAGGATGCTATTATTATTTCCTTGTCACGAATAAACGACACTAGTGCTTACTTTCATTATCCTTCCATTTTCGTGGAATTTTTCGGAAAATTTTCGAACGATTTGTCTGGTAAGCATTCGATGTTTGCACACATTATGCTTATTTGGTCGACTGCGAACTGTCTATAATAGTTCATCCTTGGGCTCGGATACAAATCATGAGCACTCCTTCTTGGGTGATGGAGTGATGAAAAGGAGAAGGACAACAGAATACATTATTAGGCTATCTTGTACATTAGGCACTTGATCAAATGTACACAAAAGAAGTCGATCAACATTATGTTAAGAAACAATATTGACTTTTTTCAGAGGTTCAAAATTGGACTTATCGGTTAAATGTTTTAAAGAACAATTAAAAACGATTTGTGCAATGTTCTTTTTTTAAATTTAAACCATGTCCTTACAAGTTTAATAGTTTAAATATTATAATTATTTAATATTTGTATAGTTAATAAATTCAACTTTTTTTTAGTAACTGACAAAACAGATTGTTCCGAAGAGTCAAATGAAAATCAAAATGAAGAAGCAAAAAAAAACAGTATATCTGATCAGTTTGTATTCGATTTTTAATGTTCACCCGTTTACTTAAATATTTAAAATAAAAATTTTACTATTTCTAGAACTTAAATTTTAATCAGTGCTAAATAATACTTAGATGTCCATGGTAATAATTATTAATTTTATCTATATTGTTAATAAATTATATGATAGAATCAATGTCATTGTAATTTTTGGACTGACCAGGGTCAGTATGTAATAAAAACATAAATAATTATAGATTTAATTGTATCGCCTATAAAAATTATTATTATAGAAATATAATGTCCTAAACCTGTATTATTATATATAGCCTTATAGGTACAATGTAAATGCCAAGTTACACACTAACTCATATTATGATAATATAATGTGTTATGTGTAGTTATAAATAATCCATCATTATTAAAATAAGTATACTATTCGTTACCATTTCAATAAATGTATTTAATTTGAATTAAACCTTCTCTTTGATATTTCATGATGTTGTATAATAATATGTAATTCATAATATAACATAATATTGTAGTAAACTATTTTTTTCATTCTTTTTAATACTTAAGCGTTGTAATTTATATTTTATTCTTTTTTGAAACATATAAAATTGTAATTTTATATAACTGGTATACATTAAGAGTTTATTTTATTTTAGCATAATGAATCTTTTGCAATAAATAAAGCATTATTTTTTTTGACGAAACTCTAGAGCAAATAGTATATAATATATAATATTATGCATCTAATGTATGATGTACCATATAATATTCAAATATTGTTCGAAACCATACTCGTTGATGATAATATTACAATACCTACACTTTGAAGAGATTGTGCCCTCGGTGCATGATAAGTTAAATATTAATATAGGTAAATAACACTGTTATAATAGATATTAGTTTTAGTGTTATGGAAAGTTGGTGTTCGCGAGAGAAACGCCCGGAAAACACACATACAATATTATATCTGCATCTGCAGAACTCATACATCATACATGTATTAGGAGATTATTAGCAAGTATCTACATTCTACACTATAGGCACGGATGTACAGCAAATTATTTTGGCAGTGAACCATTACGTAGATAGAGCTCAATCTTCGTAGTTTTTTTTTTTGATTTTCAAAGAAAATCATTTTACATAATTTGAAATGAGTAAGTGCATAGGTATTAATTATCAAGAGGCGGAGCAACAAGAGTCAAAAACTCCACTCGACAGTAGGTATAAAATATAGTATTAAAATGAAAATGGCCTTTTGTAGGTAAAAGGTGGAAATGAATGCACATTTATTAATGCATTAATATTAATTATATATTATGGCAATTGAAAAGTCCATTAATAAATTAAAACTGACAGCATTTACCTACTGGAAATAGGTAGGTACATTTCAGAACGGTAAACTAAAATGTATACGAATAATTAAAAATAATAATAATATTAATAATTCACAAATCACAAAGAGTATACCATTAGCTAGAAGTTGTCAACATCCATATTTACCAGGTAAGATGAGTATGTTATTGCAGGGGTGGCCACAACGAGGCTCTTGAATCAGTTGCCTGCGGCTCTTGAACCTTGGACCTACTAATCAAGCTTAGACTAAAATTAATAAATACATAATTCCGTTAGAACTTAGAATCATTAGATAGTGTTTTTATTGCCGTCGATTTCGTTACATATACAGTTGTTATTATAGATGGCACGGCGACACAAGTTATTTCTGTTTCTTCATTTGATTCAAAACGAAAAATGTGTCTTCATTTTATAAACATCGCTTTTCAATGTAGCTCGCCTCGAATTAGTTTTAAAAATTTGTGGCTCCCAAAATAAAAATAAGCGGCTACCCCTGTTATATTGTTATGGAACTATAATATAATATAGACACTGAGCTTGGCAACTGGTTGACCGAATGTCAAAATCTGCACCGTCGGGTACAGCAAACTGGACCATCAATAAATTCTACATCAATACATTGTTTAATTTTAATTATTTTTATGATAATTAAATATAAAATTAATATATATTCCACTTAAGTCAGCGCCGCGAGCCGTTGAAAATGAATACCTATTGTAATTTTTTTTTTGGTACGTTTTTGTAACAATATTTTTAAGTTTCTGCATTAGGTTTTGGATATAAAAATAAAACTTTGTTATTAATGTGACAGATTATTTTTTTCTAGATCTCGTTTATTTTATTATTTTAATCATCTGGACTCCAATAGAATTTACTTGCCAACCCTTTGTAATATAAATGTAATTATTGCAAAATTGTAATTATGCAAAAATGTTTTGTATTATTCTAGTTTAATATTTTCTTATAAGTTAGTTATGTTGTATAATATACAATCGTTGAGCTGTATGTAATAGTATAACTAAAAGCTAATAAAAAAAAATCAACTTTTTCTTCACAAACCCCCAGGCATGTAGGGAGAAGTGACTCCTTCTACGGGGCCCCTGGTGGCCCTGGAACTATGTCTTGGACGACACATATAATTGCTACGTGACGATCTGAATAGATCCGTAAAGTACAACGATCTGTTCGGTCGTTTTGCACTTACCAACCGACCGTTTTTGTCACTAGATAACGCTGCACGTACAACATAATAATATTATGTATTATCTCGAGTATTTTTTATAGACTACGATTGTTTTCAATATTAATTCCAAGTTAAAATATTGACGAAACTAAGCACCTATCTAAACAGAGAATATTATGGTTTTTAAAATAAATAGAAAAAAATTACCAATAGTAATATAAATAAACTAAAGATTTTCTTAGAAATTTGTGCAGACAGACAGCCTCCGTTCAGAATCGTTTTTCGTACCTACCTATATATACAGTAATAAATAATGATTTGTGATGTATGTATATATATCACTGAATTCAAATTTAACTCACCCGATGAAGATAGGTACTCCACTCGACACTATTATAATAGAAACGTTAAGTTTGGCAGAGGTGAAGGACGCAGTCAGACATCAATATATTATTATAAACAGAAAATAAATACATTTTTTTATATTTAAAATTGTTGAACACATTTTTTGGTCTAAAACGTCATAAGCTAGGTAGTCGTTTTCACGACGTTCGTCATAAACAAAATACAAAACAATATCAAAAATAATGTACCTTAATAATATTACCTAACATATTTTCTATACATGGCTGTATATAGTAAAATTCTGATCAAAAATTCTAATAATTAATTCATATCTATTAGAAACGATACAGATAAATAATAAACATGCCAAAAAAATCAACATATCAGCTATTATATACATATAAAAAAGTATTGCGATTCTAAGTAGGCGTGATCAACGCAAATCATTCATTACCAGAATCTGATGCTTCGGAAGACGTAACTAAGCTTATCGTCTCTATGTGCGATGAAGTTGCAGCTTCTTCCAATATGTTGTCGATAATGAAATCGAGTTTCCAAAGATTTTCTTCTTCTACGATTGAATAATTGAAGTAAGCGGCCAACTTCTCGGGCGTTGCTAGATCAGCACCATCATTAAGTATTTTACATACATCGTCCAGATTACAATTTGAGCAGTCTTTCGTTTTCACGTGTTTGAATGGAATCGACCATGCCATTCGAATTGGATTTAATTCGAAGTGGTACGGAGGTAAACGTAGAACTGCTTTGTTGTGATTAATTGCCTCTTGCACACTTCTTCTATAGATGTCAAAGACAATTCTTATCTCTTTAACTTTTTCAATTAATTGACACTTCACTATTGGCCTATCGAACACTATGCCTTTACTCTCGAACCATTGTAAAATACTATTTTTTTTCCAGGACATGGATGGCACGTTATTTCCTACCGAATAGTATGAAGAGGTGTCCAAAACAATGACGGAGTGCTCGTCGAGTAGAGGCAATACACGGCGAAACCAGCTGTAAAATATGTCACCATAGATGTGGTCAGGGTAGTTGGACGTATTTGTTTTCGACTCGTAGCACAGCAGACCGCCTTTTACGAAACCATTGGCTGATCCAATATGCACGACGGTCAACCGTCTGCTCTCACCCGAAGGTTCTTTGTTGGTACATAATTGTTCGGATGAATATGGCTCGACGTTGAGCCACGTCTCTACCAAATAATAAATTGTCCTACCTTCAACTCGGTAACGCTGTATATCTTCTACATACTTTCGACGCCATAGTACGATATCTTCCGTTTCCGTAAGAACAGACTTATTGCCACATCTCGTGTATTCGAAATTTAGATCTTTTAATACTACTTTTAATGAGTTACAGTTTAGTGATGGAATTTTGGGTTCAGCGTTGATGGCGGCTAGTATATTTTTTGAAGTTGGTACTGTATGTCTAACCCAAAAACTATGAATTTTTCGGCGAATTGTACATTTATCGGCACTGTTTATTGTTTTATTTATTGTTGGTTGAAATTTTCTTTTTCTTGGTGTTAATGGTTGTCCATTCCTGTAATATTCATTCAGAATTTTTCTAACTGTTTTGACGCCAATTCCAGTTTCTTGTGATAATACTTCTATTAGTTTTGTAAATCTGAGGTCGGCTTCATTTTTAGTTTTGCTTTTGAGCAAATCTATTAACATTTCCTTTTTATGGTTACCCACAACCTAGAAACAAAAAATTAATATTGTTTATACGTAATCGTTGTTTTTTTAATTTTTAAAAATGGTTGGCTCGAAAAGCGCTATAAATTTGTGAATATCGAATAATGTAAAAACTTAATTTGACTTTCCAGTAGAATTTTTTTATTTGATAAAGGTAGAAAAACTTATAAGAAACCTTGTTTTCAATTTTAAAATCTTAGATATGAAAAGAAATATTTTTATGAATTTCTAACTTAAAATAATTTACAAAATTTTCTTGATTTTTATGTATTTGATCGAAATTTGAAATTCAGATGCTTGTAAAAATATATTGCTGACTTACGCTTAACTTTTTTTTTTTAATTTCCGCTAACAACAACTTATGAGGAACTTTGTATTATATTTTCAAGTTTTTTGATACCTAGAGCTAAAATTTTTTCATCGACATTAATCGAAAAAAAACTATTGGTAATCGAAAATTTCATATAAAATAAAATATTATGAAAATATTATGGTGTATAGAAAATGATAACACAATCATTCAGTGAAAATGTCATGTATCATTCTATTTGGTATTATAAATATGTGAGATGAAATAATTAAATTCTAAATCTAGTTAAGACCGTTTAACTACCTAACTTAACTATACTTAAATAATGTTTGCTGGTTTACAGAAATACTGTAGGTAAACTCCTCTACCAACGAAATGCTAACAAAACTTAAGTTTTATCAATTAAAACGCAGGTAGTAGAGTAGGTACTCACAATTTTTGATTTATTAATTCCAAATACGAATGAAGTATTTATGTAGTTATTAATAACCAAATTAATCAAATTAAAAAAAAGGGGGAAAGGGATATCCTAGTAATTCAAAAAAAGGTGCACTTTTTACCTATCATGGGGTGTTAGTGGAAGATTATCGAAGGATTATCGAAATAAAGATTAAAATTGACAAAAAAGAAAAACCGCAAAAATAATATTCAAGATACTCGTAAATCAATGTCAGACGAGCTCTCTGCAGAATTAATAAGACATGACGAACATAAAATAGATAACCTGTGTCTCATCGTCTCCTGAAATATATAATTATACTACGTTTAAAGTTTTGGTACAAGTAGGTACTTACTTATCATTTAACTGATAGTATATATATATATATATATATATCATATTTTAAATTGATTTTTTTTATTATGTTCAACAATAAATAATTATGAAAAATGAAAAATGAAAAATTGAGTATTAAAGAATAATTCAATTTAAAAAAAAACCAAGAACTATGTTTAATGTTAAAATAAATTTTAAAAAACTTACTTTTATATTTATTTTATTAATTAATAATATTATTACCTACTTTAACATTTTCAACTCTTACATTGTCGTAAAAATATTAAGAAACATAATATTTATTTTCTGTGATTTTACCATGGGGTTCTTCATCGGGGATTCAGTTCTAAGGATTTTGTTTACCATTGAATAGTTATCACATAGTCGTAAGACATAAAATATCATTTACCTACCAAAAAAAAAAAAAAATCGGACAGGTACAAAACGCTCTTATTATATGTTGTCTCCTTCTTACATACTCTGATACTCATAACTTACTTAAAAATTGAAATATCGAATAAACCGCGGTCGAGAGAATACAGATTAGGTATGTTATCACTTATTCACTTAAAAGTGTAATGATAATTAATAGGTCAATTCAATCTAATGTCGAAACTAACGACACACTATTAAAACTGGTAAACGAATTTGTTCGTACTGCAGGTATGAATTTGCTATGTCGTAGTACGTTAGACGACTCGACTTGACCGTCCCCTTAAATATTATCATTAGGTTAATTATAATATACATTTATATTAATTTTTTTCACAAATACTTATTAGTTATTATATATAATTTATATATTGTACATTGTGCATATGAACACTATTTTTAGTACCTATACTGTAGATAGTTCCACACTTCCACAGAAGACTACGGATAATCGATAGTTCATTGTATATTGTATTAGTTTATTAGGTACATACCTACCTATTTCGCTATTTATATTGGTATTAGGTTATTTATTTATTTAGTATAGTAGTTTATTTTACCATAAGTTGTACGGTAGGTTAAATTTTTTTTCAGAAAACATTATCTACATATTTTATTATATCATTAATTATTATAATAGTATTACTATACTATAATCCTATTATTATTATTATTATTATTATTATTATTAACTTTAAACTTCGTAAGAGGATGCCTACACGGACATTTTTGACTCTCTCCGTCTCACAAACTTGTATCATACCAAATTTTACGCTCAACAGATCACGTTTAACTCCGTTAGCTAAACAATTAGAGTGAAATAGTGAATTGACTTAAACAATTTAAGGTAAGATTAGAATATCGCATAGGGTTTTTATTATATTTTAGTTTTAAAACGAGTAATAAGTATTTTAAAATTGCAAATTGCTTGTGTATTTTAAAATACTCATAACTTATTTTAAAATTAAATTATAAAAAAAGCTAAACGAGGTTCATTACATAATATTCTTATTTCTAGATTTTATAATAGGTCAAAAATCCGTACTTTTACATTTAATTACAGTTTTGCTTTCAAAAAGAACTAAATTATTAAATATGAAGAATTAAATATTTTTTGTCTCAAATTTACGATAGACAATAATAATATGTCCGACCAACACATTCATCGTTCAGTTAAGAATTTAATATGCGAGGACTCCTGACGACCAGACGATTGTATCATATTATATAGGTACCCAGGTGGCTAGGTATACGGTATACTTAAAACAGTTGATTATAAGATATAGATATTAGATACATCTTAATTCGTAGTTTTTATATTATGTAGGTACGTAGGTAAAAAAAAGGTATGTATATAGTATATTTCATTAAGTTAGTTCATACACGAATGTAAAATGAGATGTTTAAGTTTTCACAAGTTCCTATCTATATAGATACACGGCAGAATAAAAATATTTTTATATTTCATTTTCACACATTTAATATAACTAATATAATTTCATATTTTATATAATGTTAAATGTCATAAGACATTAATTAATTTTCATACATTTTAATTTAATATTTCTTAATAATTGCAAAAAAAAGAAAATGTATATTTCTTAATACAAATTTTAATACTATTGATTCAAAAAATATCAATTTATGAAACATAATTATATAATATAATAGAAAATTTTTTTGCTGAATAGGAATCTACACAATCACCTTTTCATTAAATAAAATAAATCCAATAAAGGTTAAGGCCCAAAAAAGTAATAACATCGAGTTCTATCACTGGATAGCCTCCCTCCTCACATGTGTCATTGCTGTACTAGTAATTTACATACATAATGTTGTCTAATTCGCTTATTATGCCTCGAAGTTAAGATTCTAAAAAAAATTTCAACATTGAAGGTTTTTGGTATAAAAATGAAATTAGCTAGGTAGTACTTTAAAGGTCAAAGTAAAATTTCAATAATTTTCGACATCTAAAGTTTCAATACTATACAAAATTCCTCATAAGTCTTATTTACTGTTAATTACATTAGTAGGTACATGGCAATGCAATACATTTTCAATTTTAACAGCTAAGGATTGTAAATTTAATGCAAGGTTCGTTACAAGTGTTTCTTACAGAAACCCAAAAAACTAACTATAATATTAAATATAAAGTATACAAACATCAGATTTTGCTCTTAAAATTAAAATTCACACCAAGTCCTAACCCAATGAAAATAAATTTTATTCCCTAAGGGCGTACTTCACAAAAACCGTTCCAATAGTACCTATATTCATAAACGGTAAGACCGATAAAAGGCAAAAACCGTGTTATTGGTAGGTTTTATTATAGGTGCCTAATAATAATATAATATTATAAATATTTTTACCTTTACTGGTGTATTTTTATTGACAACACCAATGTTTGATGGATCTTTATTCTCGTCGTCCATTTTAGTTTTAAAGATTATCAAAATAGTCAAAAACAAATTGAAAACAGTTAAAATATTATGTACTGATTATTAAATTAATATGCGTTATGCGGTGCACTGGGTTGTGACATTCAACAAGTGGAGTTTCAAAAACGGAGCTTCGAAGTGAAATGTGAGTCGTGAACTGGTCTGCTGTGAACTGAAATGACTGTTGTCTGTTAACAGAATCGTCGTAAAATCGCCACAAATAGGTATTTGAAAAATAAACAAATAGGTATTAATATGGTGTTTACGCATTATATTAGGCCGTTGACCGCGTCATTTGAGGAAGGGGGATTTGTGCAGGACATTTTCCTCCGTTTGGCTTCGGTCATTGTAGGTGATCAAATGCTTATTGGCTATTGCCTATTTGTATAATGTCATTGACACAATAACGACGGATATCTTCCACTACACCCAGTCGAGATAAACTTTCACAGATAACCGAGTAGTCACAGTATTAAATAAATACTTAATACGTAGTTACGGATTCGCGAAGTGATAGGATATCAATAGATTGGCATCGGCTAGACAAGGAAGAAAGGATGTCAGGATGATTACATTCTACGGTCCGTAGGTGGAAGTAAAAATAATTTCGGTCGAAACAATGAAGATCGACGGACGTCAATGACCGGCTAGGTCATTTTCAGGGTTGATTGACTAAATGTGCTAAATAATTAATAGCCGTTGATAATTTATATTATACATAATACTATCTATTTTATTCGGTAGATACCTACAAATTTAGTTACCTGAGTACCTGACTGCCTGCCTACTTAACTTAAATAAAATAAAAAATAACGGTCACTTATTACAGATAAAATAAAAATTGATGATAACTGTACATTATATACAAATATCTTTAGGTAATATTATATATTGGTACCATTATTGCGAGTACGCCCTTAATATTATCTCAAACGTCAATTAGGCCGATAAGATTTTTATAGACAAATTAATGAAAGCTTTCGTCTTATAAACATACAGGTGTAAGGCATAACACTCAGATATTTCACACTCCATTTGTTATACTATTATTAAAATATTTGATGAAAATCGGAAATCATTATTTTAAATGCAACAATTATATTTGTTTTGAAAACAACAAATCTTGAATCAGGGTTGTAATTTGGATGCCGGTAGTAAATTTTCAAATGTTATCTATAAAAATTGAATATTTTATACAATTTTAATGACAAAATAAATTAAAGTTTTCCTGATTTTGGAGAATATTATCAAAATTTGATTTTTAAATGCTTATAAAAAAAAATGTGTTAAATATAGTGCAAACATCCTATTAGGGACCTTGTATTACATTTTTTTATTTTTTGACTGAGTAAGAATTTTTTATTCAATTATAAAAAAATAATCAAACATTTTACAGATCATCTTTAAAAAATTCAAAAAGAATCAAAATATTTTGATATTTATTTGGTTTTGCAAAAAAAAATTGTTTTTATAAGGTTTTTCCGTGAGTTTATTTATCTCTATCATTACTAGTAAGATACTATGCTTATTATTTGTTAGTTATTTCTTATAATTAAGTAATCACTTTATATCTCACAAAATTGAATGTGCAGACTTAAGATGACTGGTTGTTTTTGTATTTATAGTTAAAAGCACAAATCATCAAATAGAAAAATGTAAAAGAAAAAAACATATTTACACTTGTTTTATTTTACCAAAACAGTTTTAATTAAAAATTTTAATTTTATGGAAACATACAGACATAAAAAACTAATTGATAGAAGTAGTAAAATATAAACAGTTAATTTTATTCCTGTAATCTGGTAACATAATTTCTATGTTCTGAATTTATGATGTATTTTATAACAAATAATTTAAACATACACAAAAACATCATAATACTCATTGTTAAAATGAAATGTATGATACATCAATATTAACATATGAAATAGTTTCTAACTAGTATGAATATAATGCTTTGTAGTAAAAATTATCACAGTAATGAAGTTATAAGATTTTTAAGCAGTAGGTCTATTCAAGATCTTAAATCTTTAAGAAGCGATATTTACAGAATTATTAGTTTTTGATGGGGGTAACAAATGTTTAGGTAAAGTTTCTGGCAATTCCGAGCCTTCTAATTTAATCTTGATTAAATACATAGCTAAAGCAAATTCGTCAGAATCCAAAAGACCATCTCCATCCTGGTCAGCTAATATCCATATTTTGGATAATACTGAATTTGGTAATTTTGACTTAAGAAATTCTTCTTTAGCAGCTAAATAAAAAAAAAATAGATTAACAGAAAATACTTTATATAGAGCTTAAATTATGAGAAATAACAGAAAGCATAAATTTAAATACTGAATGATTTGCCATTTGCAGTATTTGAAAAGAACAGCGCGTTCACATTAATATTTTGTGAATATCACTCACTTGTATTATCAAATAGATCGGGAACAAAATTAATATTTTTAAGGAACTTGAATGATTTTTAGATTTATAAAATTGACTTCTTTACAAAATGTATGTTTTATATTATTATTAAAGTATCAACAATTTCATATTATTGTACAATATTTAAGAAATTTTTTAAATGTTGTTTAAAACTTTAAAAGTTTTTTAAAAAATGTGGGCTTCTTATTTCTTATTCATTTTATATTCATTTTCAAATAAGTTAAGATATTTTATTATAGATTAATAATATAGTTGCATTTCTAATTAAGAGGAGGTAATAACAGCATGACAAGTTCTCTTTGCGTAACTACCCCATAGCATACCAACATTTATGTTTAACAGTTCAAAATGTATATTGTTAACTTAATTTTAAAAAGAATTAACCTTTTAGTATCAAACATTTGATATATTCTTAGGTAGTTCTTTCACCATATTAAAATTTTTAAGTGAGTTTTGAGTTAATGGTAATATATTGTGAAATATTAAAATTTAAAAATGATCATAACTCACTTAAAAAAATAAACATTGTAAAATACCAACAAATGATCAAAGATAATTTTTTTATTTTTCCTTTTGATTAATTCACTCTATTATAATAGTTGACAACACAAAATTGGATCTGCTGTACTAAAATTGAATAGGTTGTTCATTTTTAAGATGGAGGCAACATAATGTGGAGATGTAATTTACTCTTGATTATTATTAACTATACAAGAATAAATAATAAATTATATAAAAGAATAACCTTTTAAACCATTATTAGTACCTAACTCAAGGTTGTATTTAAAGATTTGTAAAATATTTAATAATTAAAATTAACTATCAGTTGAATGAGTTTATATAATTATTTTAAAAATGAAAGAGAGCGTAAACAAATTTAATTTTCAAATAAACTTTGTGAACACAGATGAATTGCAAATCAAAATGTGATGTTAGTATAAAGCCGTCTGCTTACCCGTTCGAACTACTTTCCCATCAATCGTTTCCAGGTTATAAAAAATATTGTCAAAAGGTTTCCTGTAGTAATCAACAATCCATCTTTGGTCAAATTTGCCTTCATCAATGCCTCCAGTTGTTGCATTAAAAGGAGTTGAAATATCATTTTTACTTGGGATTATATTACCTGCATGATATAAATATAATTATATAATAAGTATTAACATTATTAGCTTTATTAATATAACAATATGACAGTATCCTGGTATCCATGAGACAATATTATGTATGTTTAGACCTCAAATTATGTCAGTTTATAATTTTAACTACTATATATAATATTCTTACCTAATAACTGACAATTCAATTTAAAAAATAAACTTAACTCTGAATACTTTTTGTACTACATTTTAACAAATAAATATATGTTGATTTGGTGAGAAAATAAAATGTTCTGCAGCTTGCAGGCCCTTCGAATTTGATGGGGGGGGGGGGGATGCACCATCTGCACTTAATGAAGGCCTGTCCAACATACACAGTTATGTAAAGCTAATATATAAATGCTTTGAAAATAAATATAATTTGGTATATTTTCACAATCCAACCTCCCAATAGATCAGTACACATTTTTTTGCCTTCTCTCATTTGACAGTAAGAAGGAAATTAAAATACTGTTGTCTCTATACATGACATTTTCTATTAGGCTTTGGATTGAGTAATTATAATCCGTTTAAAATTATTGTCATAACTAATCATTCAATAATAAAATAAATTAATTGTGTAAATATTTTAAATGCTTAATAATAATTGAATGTATTTTTAGTATACAAGTTATTATCAAAAGAAGTAATTGCTATTTTTCATTAACTGTTCCTATTAATTTTTGATTGTATTACAGTACCGAATTGTAATTATTAAGTATTGAAGCAATCTTAGCTGTTTATAATAATATTAAATATAACTTGAGTTAAATGAAAACATACTTTGTACTTCTACTTCATTCATTGTCATTTCCATACTGAATCCATCCATTAAATTTGTTGCACGATTTATTAATTTTTCATCTAAAGAGTTGAAAGAAGAAAAATCTTTTCCTTTTAATATTTCCTATGAAATTTAAAGAAAGAAATAAAAGAAGAAATATTATATAACATTTTTTAGAAATAAAAAATTATTATTTGAACCTTCATATGTTCGACTTCTGGAAAATCACCCACACTAAGGTTTTTGTACTTATTTTGGATATCAGTAAACACACTTTCCAAATTATTAATTAACTCATTTTGACGATGGCTTTTATTTATAATCCTTGATAATAGTGGTAAACGAGATTTGAGCTCGCTCATTATATATGCATGTACCTTAAACAGGATTTTAATTTTAGAATAATTAAATTACTTAGTATTCATTTAATTACATTTTGCATTCAATAAATGGTATTATATATAGTATACTGTATACCTATATATTAATAAATTATAATACTTACAATTGCTGTGTTTGCTCTCTTTCCAATATGATTCAATTTGGATATGACTGAATTGTGTGGAAGAGATTTCATATCTTGAAATAAGTCATTTTCTTCTTCATTAAACATACTAAAAATACAATTTAATAAAACTATAAACATCTAAATGTAAACATACACAATTATTATAAGGATAAATCAATCATTATTTCTTCATTTTTCAATTTTTAGGAATAATTTGTATAATTTGAATACATTAAATATATGGTGCAACATTTTTTAATTATTTCCATGAATAACTTTAAACCAGGTTCTTTTTAGCAAAATTGATTCTAAAACAAACATCTGACTTTAGTTCAGTATGTTTAATATAATCTCAACTCTAGTATTAATTTTTGATTGATGAACAGCAAATCATAAATTTGGAAATACTTATTTATTGGCTTAAATAAAAGCTTATGCTTTTGAAAAGCACACTTCTACATGAAATTCAGTTTTTATTGAATTTAAATATCAATAACCAGTATTCACAATATAGTGCAAATAGTTATAATTTTCTAACGGAAAAAAAATTTTAAATTATGAAAGATTAACTAACTCAAAGTTCAAGTAGCTGAAAATTATTAGTGCTCGACATTGAATTCATTTTCCCTCTTAATTAGCAATTTTATAGTATATAACTATTTATAAACTTACATCCGATTAACATCAT